GTAATATTGTGATTGGAGTAAACCATTACAACATATACACATAGATACTTGTACCAAAGTAGTATTTTGTGTGGAATAAACTTAAAACCATAATTCTTTTGTTAGAAAGTACTGCTGGGGTGGAATAAACTTAGGTTCTCTGTCCAGAATTTGTAACCTTACTATGTGAAGTGCTATGAGATGACATATGTTTTCAATTGGTGCTATAGAAATAAAATTTAACTGAATTGGATTAAAACTATAAATGCATTAACAGACAGTAACGTGGTTTGTGGAATAAACCTTTAAAATTAGAAATATATAAACATTCAAAACTAGAAATTATTGTACAAAATGTATTATTTGGGGTTTAGTAAAGGTGCACACTTTATTGATCAGCCAGTTCGGCAGGTGCTGGTAACAGGGGTCCTGGACGTGCAGCCTCCTCTGCTGCAGACACCAACTGTAACATTGGAGAGATTTGGACCGAGGCTGAGCTGACTGCCTCCCTCTGCTGCACAAATCAGCAGACCGCAATGACCTCCGATAACCACAAGAGGGCAAAGCTGCACACAAACTTCGCATCACTACTGCTGCTGTAACGCTCCTGGATCGCTGTGCCTGTTCGGGCCTGCACCGCTGCACCGCTGCACACACCCTCACATTATTTAGCCAAACACACGCCAGCCGCTCCGCACAACGAACGTCACGTAAACACGCATTTGTGAAAGTTGACAAGTGGCGGTCTCATCTCACACGATCTGCATCTACGTCGTGAGGATGTACGTTCTCCCGCGTCTTGTCTTCAGCGCTTGTTGTCATAGATAACCATCTGTGGACTCGCCGCGAGAAGCACGCTTGACTGTCGTGTTTTGATGACGCAATCACTGGGACTTTCCGGATACGTCACTCGGAGCTTCCGAGTTATTAAGCTAGCTCCGCTACTGTGTTCATGTCGTTAGACGCCGTAAACGTCGCCGCGTCGCTCCGGACTACGAACCAAAAGACACCATGAAAACGTCAAAGGCTCCCAGCGGCGCCGAAACGGTCGAAAATTAAGACGTCGTCGTCAGGAGCGACGGTCGGACCGAGAGGCGGAATGTCAACAACGCGGCCCCTCCTCGGAATGAGACGAGTCACCGAGCTAACGTGCCCGGAGCAGCCGACCAGCAGGCTCCCTGCGTCAGCCGGCAGGCAGCAGCAAGAGGCCCCCACCGTGGACGAGTTCACGGTGCTGGAGGATAAAGAAGAGGAGCTGAAATGCGCCAAGCCTCGGGTGGAGCAGGTTTTCAAAGTGACGTTCACCATTATCGGTCTGTTGGACCACACAGGACAGCAGCACGGCAGCAAAACATTACGGCAGATATGGCTGCAGCTCCGAGGCAACAGAGACGACGTGTCCAAGGCAAAGGTGAGCCTCCTCAATACGGTTTCACTTGCATTTCTGTTTCCCAACACTCTGCTGTGACACGAGTCGGTATGAGCTCATTTAAACCCAGATATTGTCTCTTGGGTGACTGTTGGGCTTGTTGAACAGGTGCAGCAGAGTTCTGTGATTAGCACCAGGTTCTGCTGCTCCATCACAACACACCTGACTTCTGAGAGCTGGAAAATAGCACAGCACTGACTTTAGGTATCATCTGAAATATGGTGGTTGTGTGTGTGTGTTTCCCCCTGATGTGATAACTTTAATGAACTTGTTGTCGTGGTAGGAGACACAGAGGCAGCACATCAGCAACACAAACACTTCTTCTTCAGACATAATATCACCCACGTCTAACGCTGGCCAGACCTGTTTTGTGAAAGTCACAGTTGTCATTCTCAAAATATCGCCCCAGTATTTACATTGTGGTATCTAGTCATAAATGTCATGACATTTGATTAATGTGGTTTGTAGCTGGCCGGAGGGTTGTCAGACACAGTTATCACAGACGTCACCTGTCTGTGATGCACAGCAAACCGGTCATTTCTGTTTAAAAATTAACTTTATTCAATCATCAGTGTTATCTCTTTTTTGCTGTTGTGTGTATTTATAAAAGTTCTGACTCCATTTAACAATCTTTTGTTACTTAACTATGACTCAACAGCTTAATCTACAATATAAGTGTGTGTTTAAGGGAGGAACCTGGAGGCTAAATCAGAATACAGCAAAGTCACAGTGATATCAATGCACAGGCAAGTCTGTGGGAGGCTATAATGTGGAAGTTGCGAAAATATTTTTTACATTAATACAAGTTGTATAGTAGCACACTTAAAAGCAACCATAAATGGGTGAAGCTGTGACAGAAAGTTGTTATGACGGGCAAAAAAAATAATGTGCGTCTGTGTATCGACACATCTTAAAACACAACTTAGGTATTTTTTCCTCATAGTTATAAGACTAAATCCAACACTTAAAGATTTATTTTGTGTGAAGAAGAATGTATAAAACATATAAAATTTTTCTTTCTTCCTTTTTGAAATTTCATATCTTCACTCATGCTGTTGTTTGCTTGTATCAGTTCAGCAACCTTTACTTTCAAATTGACATTTTTGGCGAGGAACAGTCATTTTATGGGACTTTTGAACCTGGGGATCTCCATGTTGGAATTTATGTTGTTGCATTTGTATTGTTTGTTATAGTTTTTTTTTTAAAAAAGGGGGGGGATAGTATGTTTATTCCCTTATGTTTGTGTCATGCACTTGATGTGAAGAAATAAGGACCTCATCATATTAACATTATGACAGTTATTCGTCTTTAAACGCCTCTAAGATTCCTACGGGGTCCCACTTTGAAAACTGTCAGCTACAGGTGTCCACACTCCTCTAAACTTGTAAATAATACTATCAGACAGAATACACCTCAGAACACAACCATCAATTTGAAAGTCACGTGAGCCTGAGACGCATTTCGAGATTGAATATTTCACTTACTCATACAAAGTAGCCGTCAACATCTGACTGGTAATCTCAGTCTGATTTTTTTTTTTTTCTCTCTGTGTGATTTCCCGCACAAGGTTGTCGTTCACACTTCTGCATCTCGTGTCATGAGTCTCTGTGTTATTCACGCAGTAACCAGCTGTTCCGAGCTCTGCCAGTCAACCGATAACCCGATGTGGAAATGGTCATTTTACCGTCGGCTTGTTCTAGTGGTGATAAGGATTACCAAAGACTCATAAATGACTTCCTGCGTAATCACACCAGTGTTATGGTGGCGTTTCCTCTAGTTTGGGAAATCACTGCCATTCATCCAGAAAGAACATCTCTTGTCATCCTTTTATAATCGAAGCATGTCGTTCTGATTGAATTGCTGGAGCTTCCTACGTCTTATTTGATTGATATGGTGTGTGCTTTACTAGGACAGTGTCTCAATGTGAACTCTGAATGCAAATCTTGGCGATGAGCAGATGGTGCTGTTTGTTTATGTGCGCTGCTGTTTAATCTAATTGATGAAAAGATTGTGAAATTGTTGGGTCATGGATGAACTAAATAAATATTAAATCAAAAACTGAGAAACTTTTGAATTTCATCAGACAAAAGTGGTTTGTGTAAAGCTGTAGTAATAAATTATTGTAGGGTTGGTCTTGTTAGATTTAAAAAAAAAAAAAAAAAAGCAGATGAACTTAAAGTATTTAATCAAAGTTCGAGCATCTTTGACATTTTGTCAGACAAAAGTGGATCAAGCAAAGCTGTTTTGATTATTATATGGTTGGTTTTCTTAAATTTGCAAAACAAAACAGCTTGCAGTCGGTGTTCGAATTTGATTTTGGAAAAACTACGTTTGACCAGAAGTTGTGTCACTGCTTGTTCTGATAATCCTCAGATCTCTGTGTCACGTCTTTTCATCTGAAGTCGTATGAGTAGTCGTGTCATTTTCTTGTCCGTAGATAACAGTAGATCTGTCGTCTTAATATATGTAGTTGGTGTGCATCCTTCAGCAACTACCTAGTGGTGGCAAATTACAGGATTCCTCCTTTTGATGACGATGTAGTTCTACCACAAGTGTTGCATTCGAGGATCATGGGACTGTCTGCGTTTAGTTGACGATGCTGCTCAAGAATTTGTGTCATTTAGTGTAAAAACAAAATACTTACTCAATCTCAGGAATATGTAGTCATACATTGCTTTTTACTTAAAAACCAAAAAAAACTAAGTACATCTACCACAACCCAATTAGAAACCCCAAAACCAGATGTCTAATTTTAGTCGTGTTTCTAGTAAAGTTCTCGTAAAGTTACGTCACCTCTAATGGTTATTGCAAAGAGCCAGCGCTACTGGAAACTCGTGTTATTGGTGGTTTCATTTTAGAAGCTGTGCCCAAATATTCACGATCGGGTTCCCTTTCAAGTTTGACATCCTCCATTTTTCTCCCACTTTGTCATTGTTGAGTCATTTTACATTGTTTGCGTGGAGTTTTTTATTTTTTTATTATTATTGTTCTCGACACAGTAATGGTAAAGAAATGTGACATAGTATCAGTGAGGAAGTTGCCGCGCCCACCTACAGTTGATTCATCCAAATATTTGCCACAGCCAGGAGATTCCCTGAATCAATGACAAGTGTTTAGTTTCGGCACGTGTCAGCTTTACAGCGAGTTGTGGGACTGTAATGTGTGTGTGCTTCTGATTTGAGAAACCGATATATCCTTTTTTTTTTTGTGTGTGTGCTTAACAGAAATCCCAGATGTGTTTTTGTCGCAGCATTGGACTTCTGTAGTAACTTGGATTGTAGGTTGGGCTTTTTTAAAGGCTGCCTTTTTAGTACTTACTCATTTTGTGGAGTTTTTTTTTTTTTAAGCAACAAAAAGAAAACAGGATATGTGTGGCTTATAGGTAATTAATGATGCTGCCGTTCCCCGAAATGCTCTGACAGTTTATTTCCTCCTTGTTGCGCAGGAATATGTTCGAGGACTGTGTGACCCAGAACTGCAGAAAGAAGAGCGGTACCCGGTGGACATGCACTGTATCTTTGCCGGCGCCCGGGGTCTCTTTTTGGACAGACTCATACGGGACACGAGCGCTGAAGTTGTGGTGCCTGAGCCGGGCCGCCTGCGACTGTTGGGTCGGGCCGAACCCGTTGTGATGGCCCAGAGCAGAGTTCAGCAGTTTGTAGCACTATTCCAAGTACGGGTCCCGATTTATATGTCAACAGACACAGTTTTCATTTTCGAGAAGTTACATTTAATGGATGAATGGGCTTTTCCTCGTGGGAGAGAATGGTCCAGCTACCTTCACTTTTCTGTACATGTGATGTACTTTGTGGAAAGTTTTCAAAACTCCCAAAGCTGTGATTATGAATAATTAATTTGCAACAGTTTTATGATCTTATCTAAGTCATTTTTCATGCATATGTGTCCAAATTTGCTGGTTAAAGCTCCTCAGATGAAAAGATTTGCTGCTTTTCTTTATAATTTATGACAGCGAAGGGAACATCTTTTGGTTTTGGACTTTTGTTGGGGTAAAATTTAACGACTTCATAGGATTTTTAAGTCAAATTAGGAAGACTAATTAATCACTACTCACAGCCCAATTTTAGAAATAAAGGAAATATTCTTGAAGTGACATTATAGGCTACCACACACTCAAATCTGTTTGTGTTGTGTCCAGGAGAAGCGAAGTCTGCCGAGTGACAGAGAACCAATGGTGAAGCGAACGTTCAAGTCCTTCGTGGAGGAAAGGGATGACAAGTACACTATGGAGCTTCTGCTGCTGCCCAGTGCTCTGAAGGAGGAGTTACTGGGGCTGGTTCACAGCCCCACAAGCACTAATACATCTTCCCTGGTTAGTGTGCACCCTTTTTTAACATGATTTATGACAATAAAACATAACCACAGTGTCCAGGAGAAACTGGAGTCGCCCTGGGGGCCTTTGGATAATGGCAGCGAATTTAGGAAAAGAGTAAACCGTCTCTGCTGTGGGATTGTAACCGTACTGCTTTATGGGCTGTAAGTGGCCTGTGAGATTTTAAATGGTTGTCCTGACGCTTCGTGGGCCGTTGCTACACTTAAAAATGTGGCAAACTGGGTTGTATACGTTTCCTGCCACAGCTCAGCCATAAAACTACACATTCTGGGCTTGAATAAGTTGGTGTAACTCTCAGCTAAGGAGTGAAACGGCTCACCCTTATTGCAGCAGATTTACTTCCTGCTTTTTTCTCTTCAGGTCTGTTTGTAAAAATGTGTGTTAAATCTTACTTTGAAAGGTTTCTTTTAGGCATTCAGAAGCTGTAATGAAGCAAACAAGTGAGACAGTTTTGGCAGGTGTGCAATAAGTAAAATTAAAAGTGCCATTCCTCCTGATTTGTGCCTGAAACTCTGGTTTTGGTAAGAACCATGTAGGGCTTGCAGGGAAGTACAGAATGAGCCATGAAGCTCTTGTGTTTTAGGGGAACTTTCAGTGTACTTTTTGCTCGCCGAGGTTGAGGTCGGTGTGTTTCCTTTCCCAGGCCCAGCTCAACCAGACGCTGCATCCCAGCGTGGCGGAGGTCGACCAGGACCGATCGCAGAGCAGCACCCCTGTGACGGAGCTCTCCAACCGCATCCTGGACACCAGCTTTGAGGAGAAAGGCACGGCAGCAGCAGCATCCATCACCGGCAAAGCAGGAGGTGGGATCGGTTTAGGTCCAGAGGCCGTCCTGCTCAACGGCACCAGGCCTTCACACAAGCGGCGCTCATCCGAGAGCGAGACTCGGGATACAAAGAGACAATATTCCCTGGAACGAAGGGAGGAGTCGCCAGAGAGAGCGAGAGAGAGGGAGCGACAGCGGGACAGAGAGGGTCGGGGGAGCAGCAGCAGCTGTAGATCCAAAACCCCTTCGGCTTCGTCGTCCCTCTCCTCCTCGTCCTCGGCAAAAGCGAACACAGTGGTCGGTCAGATCATCCTGGACTCCAGCGAGGGCGTCTCGGACGACGGAGAGGCAGTCAGTCCAGAAACCAACCTCCGCTGCCTGGTCAATTTTTTCAGGTAAATGTCATAGTAGTTAGAAATGTTTGCCAATTAATCTGTCGTTACTATATTAGAGGAATTAACTGTTCTTTGAGCTACCTTGTTGATCCTTTTTATCTTTATGTGCAACATGTGATCAGAGCTGCTGCGATCAGCAACTATAATGATAAAAAACAAGATAATTAAGTAATTTTCACACGTAAAATGGACCGTCTTAAGACATTTTGATGGAGTCACATTGGACTTGGGATATTATGATGTTGCATGTTTTGCTGTTTTCCTAATATTTCCCGAATAACCATTAGATGCACTCCTGATGTGGTCTAGAGACTAGAGGTTGTTGCGATTGTTCCTCATTACCATACTGATCATGAAGAATTGGAGCAACTGTACGAAAAAAACCTTAAAATATTTCAGGTGAAACGAGTCTTCAGCAGTTCAAGTCAGTCAAACCAAGTGGCTGTCTTCATATTTTACATCTTTTTACTGTGTGTCTGTGAAGTTATCTTTTCGTTACTATCTCAGAAACGACTCATAAATACGGATTTGAACTGTCAAACTCACACTGGTGGAGCTTTAGCTCAAACTATTACACAGAGTGAGGAAGATGGATTTTGTGGTGTATCTGTTGGATTGAAATTGCTTTATGAAGAACTCTCTTTATAGACAGGATAAACATTTACAGCCACCAATGTACGTACGGGCATGTGAGTATTGCTTGAAGACGTGCTTGAAAAATTGTCAACTCAGCCGTTAACTCTCTGAACTTCAAGTAGTTTCTGGGCGTTTATTGTTGCTGTCACAGTTTGACTCACTGTGGGCTAATTTTTCATTGCAATATAAAGTCCTGCACCTCTATGAAAACAGCACAACCACAACTAGAAGAGCAGAGCAATCAGAGGGGTGTTTTTTTTGGAGTGAAACAAAATTATAATGCCATAAATCATAAACATGAGAGAGAGAAAAAAGAAAGAATTCAAAAGAAAATATTGTCTCTATATGCTACAGTTATTTTACTAGCTGTATTTTTCATTTGTTTACAGAATTATCTAATAATCTCCCATCAAATCTGCGTAAACACAGGCTGCAGTTCAGCCAGAAAGTCCCTGAGTTTTTGTCACATGATTGTTGGTCACAGCTGAGTCACTGATTGCTTCTCTGTTGCACTGAGGAGAATTTTTAGTTTCTGACAGTCTGATTAATGCAGACAGTTTATTTAGGGTGAATTTTAAGTGAGACATGTTAAAAGTGATTTTGATCAAATGTGATAACTTTAAGCTTAGATTTGGTCCATTTTTCCTAGTTAGAGGGCCACTTAAATGTTGAAAATCAACCAATTTTTACAGTTTTTATGGTTTCTGAGCCAGAAAAATTGTGTCACTTTTTTGCTTTTTTGTAATTTGAGTGTTTATTTATTGCGTAATGCTGAACCACTGTTAAAACTCTTTTTCTCCAGAACCATGGGTTACCAGCAGGAAGTGGTGGAACGCGTTGTCAAGGCAACAGGGCAGACGGAAGACACCTTCCTCGTCCTGGAGAAAATCGTGGAGGAAACCAAGCGTTGCGAGGAGGGCTCAAAGGGAGGGGAAAAAGAGAGGCGATTGAACTCTGTGCGTACCCCAGACGCTCCCTCCGCGTCGTCATCCTCCTCTACGGTCTCTCGCTTCAGAGAGAAGGAGCGCGAGCTGAGCAGGGCGCTGGTGGACCCCGGCAGGTCCAAGGAGAACATCAAACCCAACCAGCATGGGAGCAGTAGCAACGGGCTGGGCCACCGGAGGCAGTGCAGCGGCAGCGAGACGAGCACTCAGCAGGTACTCCGCATCTTACCATAACTTTAGCATTACTTCCAGACAATTGGAGAGCCAGACAGTGTTGATGTGTGATACAGTCGTCCTCAAATGTATTCATACCCTCCCATTAAAGAAGGAAAAAAACAGCTGTCCCTGAAATAAGGTGAAATTGACAAAAGTAATAATAAATTTAAAAAAAATAATGAAAATCATGACATTGCTTTTGAATTGTGGTTCAACTGAAACAAAAAAAAATAACAATAAAAGAACAAAACAAACAAGGATGATGGGACCTGTGAACTAATATCTTGTTGAACAACCCTTTGAGCCAATCACTGCCATCAGGTGTTTTCTGTAACTCTCAATCAGACTTCTGCACCTGTTGACAGGTATTTTGATTTTGGCCCACTGCTCCACAATTCAGAAGCAATGTCATATTTCACTAAATTAGAATTTAGCAAATTTTAATTTATATTACTTTTTCAGTTTCTAGTTATTTGAGTGACTACTGTGAATTTTGCCTTTTCTTTAATGGAAGGATGTGAACACATTTGAGGACAACTGTACAATTCGGATGACACCAAACTTCTTTTTTTTTCTGTCTCATGTGACATTTACGTCTCCTATATCTTATCTGCTGTGACACATTTCTTCTCCCCATTTTGTTGTCCCTCTTATACTCTGAATTCTTCACCTCAGATCATTTCCAATAAGTCGCTCATCCTGTGACTCATCTTACTGGATCAGTTTAGTGTTCGAAACGTGACAGCACGGTATTACAGATCGAGCTAAAACGTGATTTGTGTGGCATATTTGATTCATGTTATTGACAGACTTGCATTTTTGTAAGAAAAATGTAACATGTCATTGCAGGCCATCACTATCAAGAGGAGTTCCAGCGCTCAAGGAGGCGCAGGAAACTACGAGGTTATTACTATTGACGATGACGACGACATCATCCCCACGGACACCAAAACGGCAGACAGTAGAACGTCCAGGATGATGACGGTGGCGCACCTCGACACGCAGTCGGGATCCAGAACAGACTACCTGGCCCGGGGAGGGGGCGGAGTCTCGCAGAGGGACTACCTGTCTCGAGGCGGGACTCAGACTTTGGGAGGATCGGTGAAAGTTGAGAGCGTGACGGCGCTACGCAGCACGCCTCAATGGCTCACCGCCACCACGACCTCCTTGGCTTCGACCCCCAGTGTAGGTATTACCTTCAAGTGTCCACCTCCACCCAGAAATCTGTTTCACTTGTTGTTCACGTGGATGGAAGGGTGATGTATGTTCAAAGGTTATCTGCACCTTAAATCTGATTTGTACATACTGATAATGCAACCGTTTTAAGCATCAGTTATGATCCAGGCTCACAAAAGTGGGATGTGGAAACCTGAAAATTCCACCACACACATAGTGAAAATGAAAAAAGAAAGGGATCTTGTGTCAAGCGGTGGAACTTTGTAGATGTACAGTCGTTCTATATTTATAGATTCTTGGTTTTCAATGAGAGAAAGGAGTAAATGGTTTTTTTTTTTTTTGTTTTTAAAGATACAGATGTTATTCAAAGCAGTATTTTTTATATGTCTTAAAACACATCTGGAGAGGAGCTTTCATGAGCTGGTTTCCTTTCTTTGTATTGATGCAGTGTTAAGGGGGGAAATTTCCCAGGGCTCCTGCTTGACTTGGACATTTTTTAGGTGTCTGGGGGAAAGTTGTCGACTTTGATCAAGCAGTGGTCAGAAAATGAAGCAACAATTAGTCATTTTAAGCTTATGACTCTCACTGATGAATCATTTCTGCTTGTCGACCAGATGTTTGTGTGTAATGAGATATTATAGTTGTGTATGATTATGTTTGTTACAAGCTGGTGGACGGCATAAAAGTAGAATTAATCAATGGATTTTATCTGAGCAGGCCTCGATTTTTTTATTTTATTTTTTTTTCATTTAACTATATTGTTCCATTCTGTTGCCTTTGTTTTTACTTTGGTTGACAGAGACCATGCTTAATACGTGAAGTATACTTACACATGTTGAACAGTGTCTTTATAAGGAAGTTTTTGGATATAGTGTCACGTTTTCCACCTTTTTACAGAGTTATCTTAAACACACACACACACAGCGAGAGTTTGGACGGGTTTCGTTCTGATTCATACCATCAAACACTTCATTGTCCTTCTGTTTATTTTCCTCTCCAGTCAGCTCAGCCCATCACTCGACCCTCGGCCTCTCCCTACCAGACCATCGGACACATGGGTTTTCACGGGGGTTTGGCCCGGACGCCTCCTGCCAACGACCCTCCCGCCCCTCCTGTGACCGGTTTGGCTCGTTTCCATCAGTCGCTGCGGACTCCCTTCACCCTCAACCTGCCCAACGAGCCGGGACGTCCGGAGCTGAGACACATCATCATCGACGGCAGCAACGTGGCGATGGCGTGAGTGTGCACACTCACACAGCTGAACAAATACAAGCTGTAAAGGTGGTCTCTGCTCAGAGTCAAAGTAAAAGCATAAAGCATGTAGACAGAGGACGTTTGAGTAGAAAAATCTGGAATAGGCCAACATTATACGTAGAAAATGTAATCATCTGAAAAAGTGTATTTAATGTTTTGAAAGCTGCTCATCAGGACAAAACTTTACTGTGGCAGACAAATGATCATCTTTGTGGCAGGTTTCTGTGTTCACAAATCAATAATAGGGTTTGGTTCAAATGAAACAAGCCTTCAGGTCGACATTAGTTTCAGTGAGATAAGATGAGATAAGATAAAGTCTTTTGTCCCAAAGGAAAATCCGTCTTGGGAAATGGTGCAATTGGGCAAATGTAGCTGCAATATCACAGAATTATCACAACAGATTAATGAAAACAGTTTAATTCATTAAAAAGAATAAAAACAACCCTATCGTATAAAACACACAGTAGAACATAATACAATCATGTCCAATGACCTGTACGGCCACAGTAACGAGGAAACTAGCGTAGATGTGAAATTTGAGAGCGTTATCGTCCCTTACAGAGTGCAAAGTGCTTCCTGGAGTTTTGTTTAGAAATCTGATATTGAAGGCATAAGATTGTAGAAGACACTACTTTAATATCAGTCTAACCTTTAGTTTCCTTACAAATTGGATGTGATTGTGCATTTAGATTAGCACACCAAATGTGCTCTTCGTATGCCGATTAAAAAAAAAACTGCCACAGTGTCTGGTTTCATTTTGAAAATAGAAGTAAAGGTCAAACAAGTTGACCAGCCGATTGCAGGTCAGACTGAATAGCTGACGCTCTGCTTTCAGTCTGAGTTTGTACTTGCCGTCTGCCAACAGCGAGCAGCTTTGATCATTACGAGCATGAGGATCCTTCATATTGGTCATACAATTCCCTGAATGCTTGAATCATCTGTTTCACTTGCAGTTCTGGCTTCTTCTTCTTCTTCTTCTTCCTCGCTCACCAATCTGATTGGCGCTCTCAGAGGTTGACTCGCAGACTCAGATTAGTTTTGTGCTCTCTCTCGAAGCTTTTCTCGTCCGTACACTCACATGCCGTGACAGCATTGTGGGTTTTGCGAGGGGCTTGTTTTCTGTCGTGCACATATTGGCTCAGCTCAGGGAATCTTGTGGTGGCTTCTGGTCGTTTCAGTCGGTCCGTTGTAGGCTCAGTTGTGTAGTGTGACGCAACGAGAGGAGGCACAACACACGTGTAGACTGGTTTACTGGCACTTTTTAAGAAGGCGTTTGCTTTGCCGGTGACTTCAGTGTGACAGGAATAATTTTAGTTTTTAAGAGATGCTCGTGAATCACCCATCAGTTCCTCTGTAAAATCAAAACAACAATTGAAAGGTTATCGTGTGCGATTGGAGAATGTCGACTATGAAGCAACACATTACTACTGCTTTCGACTTTCTGAGGTTGTAGCTCGTTTGATGACAAACGCAATTTGAATGGTGTCACCTCCCACACCTGTACTGCATTCACCACGTTTTCCTTTTTACATAAGAAGCCATCACCCTTCCCATCAGCATCGCCTTTATCAGTTAAGGTCACACACACACACACACAAGCCGCACACACATCTGTTACAGTGCGTAGGTCGCAGCTACAAACCTGTATTGTGTAGGAGCACCAAAACTTCGCCCACATATTCACATATTGTTGTTACTCATCACCTTTTGTGTACGACTGCGCGTGCCCGGCCGAGCGAAAGTAGTTGTAACGGCGTGATATCGACGCGCGGGGGTTGCGCTGTGGAGGCGTTTCCGAGAAAACAGGCCTGTCGTATGAATCTTTACTTGTAGTTTCTGATTTGTCCAGATATTGTGCAAGGATTTTTGTGTCACACAAGGAAGGAAGGAGTTTGGTCTATTGTCTTTGATTCCCTCCTCACTCCCTGCCGACCTGCTGTCGCAACAGCCTTTATCCCGGATGACCCTGTTCTGACTTCTCACTTTTGCAACCACTTCCTTTCACGTTCTCGTTTCATCCTCCTTCCCTCCCTCATTACCAGAAGCTTTCCTAAGAAGAAGAACACAGAGGGCTGTACTACGAACGATGTTAGTGGGTCAGTGAGGCATTGTTGAGCTGTTTTCAATACGAGGAAGGTGGCTCTCTTTGAACCTGGATTGATTCCCGTGGCACAGCTACCCTGCTCACAGAGGTTGAATTGACTGTTTGTCCCTTTCAAAAATTAATTTCCTGTTAATCTTCTGTGAGCGATACAGGTTGTCAGCCGAGGGAATATGTTGTATCTGCAAACCTGTAGGGCAAACTGTGTGCGTCATATTGCCACGGGAACCTACATGTGTACAGTTTGTGAAGCAGGAAATGCATAAATATGTCTTTATGTTTGGTCCTTACTAGCTGCCAAGTCCATTACACTGCTGGTAGTGTCAAATGTTATTTATCACAGAGAATATTCAATCATCAGCATTATTTCACTTTGATTTG